GCCCGTCAAAATAAAACTGTCTTCCCGACACGAGCGGAAACACAGGCAGGCAGAAAATGACAGGCAGATTCGCAAATCACATGCATAAGCGTTCAAATTAACGTTTTTAGAACCCGTATAGTGCCTCACGCCGCCCATCGCCACTGAAGAGAGTAAACATACACAGAACTCCTCAGACTGAACCAACACTCCGTGGATGTTCTCACATAACCGTGACTTCACGAGTGCGAGAAACGCGCATAGCTGCAAGACACTGCCCGCTCGCGCCACCTGCCCCGCGTCGCCACACCTCACCTCACCCCGTCTCGTCAACCCTCTCCGAACGTTCGGTGCGCCGGCGCCGGCGCGCCCGCCCCTCACGCCTACCTTGACGTGCGCCACGCCGGCGCGCGCGCCTCTCACGCCTACCTTGATGTGTGCGCCAGCGCCGGCGCGCCCGCCTCTCACGCCTACCTTGATGTGCGCGTCGAGCGCATGCAGGTCGCGCAGCTGGCGGTAGGTGTCCTTGTTGCCGCAGATGTAGAGCAGCAGCTTGCGCACCTGGCGCCGCACGAACGGCGCCAGCGGCGCCATCATGTACTCGCACAGCGTCTGGCGCCAATTCTGAGCGCCACAAGGACCAATCAGCCGGCGAGCTTCGAGTTACAAACGGGGAAGCTGGACGGTGTGGCTCATAGGGCACTATGCGAACAACTAGCGTCATGTCATAACCGAGCGACACAAGATCAGCCAGACACGCTATGGTGCACAGACAGCCTGTAGGGGTATGTACACAAGTTTCGGGCGCAGGTAGAGCCTGCGAGCAGCACCGAAAACAGAAAAAGCACGTAAGGCTTTTATCACGTGACACGAAACGCCCTCCGAAACAGAGGTAGCCTTCCAGCTGTTAGCAAAATTGCGTATACACATTTGCAGCAGAGAGCACTGTGCAATTTTTATAACCTGAATCGCATCACATCGACCGTCACTGGGCACTACTCCCAACCACATGTATACATTTCACACCACCCGTCTGCCTTTGCGCCTGACGGACAGCACTGACACGCGGCGGGTGGCCGACGACCCACCTCGCCGAAAACGTCGACGTTGGAGCCGGGCACGACGCTGAGCACCTTCTTGACCTGGTACGGCAGCCGCAGCACCATCTCGGTCAACAGCTGCGAGAAGGTGGAGAACACGTCCGCAGAGTAGCGCTGCCGGCAGAGACGGCACGGGTCAGGCGGCGCACACCAACGCCGCGGCGCGGGAGCTGCCGCACGCATCCCGGGCGAGGGCGACGGTGGCGCCGGCGCGGGCGGCCCGCAGCAGTCGGAGGGACACCCGGGCCGACCCGGGGCGGGTCGGTGAGGCGCGGCCACTGATGGCTCAGAGCAGGCTGGCCGGTGGGTGGGGGCGGATATCACGCGTGCAGACTCGAGGTCATGAGCCACGGGGAAGCCAAGACGGGGTTGAACTGACAGTCTCGCACATAAGTCCCGCATGTTTTAGTACAGACCAGATAGAACGACGAATACAGCGACGTTCTGCTAAAATTCGGCGTGCAGATGTCTCGAATGATAAGAGCAATCGTTCACGACTGATCAATGGATGTGACCTTCAGCGGAGGAGACCCACACGCTGCCAGGACCGCTGCATCGGTGAACAGCCGCTGGAATATGCAGATACCAAGCGAAGTGTAGCTGTTTGCTGTCATGGCAAGAGGCCTTGAACGCTGCAATGACTGCAATGACGCCTCCAGTTCAAACTTAGCACCGACGGCTCAGCTGAAACGCACACCACCACGGTACCACTGTCGGCAACCCGAACACTGTCGAAGGCCGAGCCGACGACTGCGCGCACCTTGACGTATTCCTTGAGGAAGAAGGGAGACATGTCGGGAGTGGGGGAGAGCGGGTGCTCCTTCAGCAGCTTGCCACCCACCACCGTGCCAGAGTCGTCCTTGTCGCTCCTGCGGTCCAGACGAGCCGTCACGCTCGGATGTAGGCGGCAGCCACAGTTCGAACCAATGCGACCCAATACCATGTCGGCCGAACGAACCATGTGGGGGAAGGTATGCATTCGTAGCCCGCGCCGATATCAAACGTGAAATTCGCAAGATAATTCTGGGCTGGTTAGAATCGTTCTCTACCATTTTCGCGAACCGTTAGCTCGCAACTATTTATATATATATATATATATATATATATATATATATATATATGATTTATATATATTTCGCACTATTTATAATAGCTCATTTGCGAAAATTACCGCAAATATCAGATTAAGCTGACGAGCCCGCCCTTGACTTCGCACCAGCGTTACAACACGAACACAAGGCGTCAATGGCCTTTCGGAGCGTCATCTCCTAGATGCAATGAGCCGCCGAGATGAGCGGAGCGCAGGGCAGCCACTGACGTTTTCCAGTAGGCGATGAGCGCCTTGAGCGTGTCAGGCAGTTGTCCGATCATGTCGGCCCTTGAGCAGCGCGGCGGCCGTGCCGTGGCCGTGAACGCACAGCCGTCGCAGCCGTGGCGGCCATCTGCTTGGGCCGCGCACATCAGCACGCCTGGCGACGGCGGAGACACGTCCAGGAGACGTCAGGGACGGGAGCGGAACACGAGGCTGTCAGGAGCATGGTCCGACGCAGTATGCCGCCCTGCAGGACAGGCCACAGGTATCGGGGGAGGCGCAGCACACCGCACCGACTGCTCTGCTACTGCATGCTCGAACACACGGGAAACGACTGCCGGCTCTCCCGTTGGAACGGGCGTTACGGTGTTAGACTAGTTCGCATAGCAGCACACGTATTTTCATTCGAGACCCGAGCCCTTGTTCTTCTTCCACTCAAAATGCGCCGTTAAAATCAACATTTCAGCATGCACTGCCAGTCAAGGGTCTGAAACCAATGGGGCTGCAGACTGGGGCAATATAACACGACCAGCACGATGCACATGGATACAGGCGACTGAAGCGTCGAGCCAATCCTCGCCCCAGCCGCCGCCGCAAGTCCCGCCCGACTCACTGAGCATGCGCATGATGATAAGTCGGATCTCGCCGTCACTGCTGCGCTCGTGCGCCGCCGCCGGCGCGCCGTCCGTCTTCAGCTGCGCCACAAGCGCGCGCAGCAGGGCATCCAGGCAGGCGCGGTCGCGCTCGTCCGAGCCGTCCAGGTCGGAGGCCAGCATCAGCAGCACCTGCGCCCGGCCGCCCGGGCGTTAGCGGAATAGCACAGGTCGGCAGAGCGCGGAGGGCCTGCCCCTCGTCACACTTCTGCACCGCGGGTCACGTGCGGTACGGTACCATGGCAGCCACGCACTCTTTGACAGTCCCACTGACAATGCTTTTGCCAACTCTCAGACACTGCAATGCCATCCTGTCGGCAATGTCTGCCAGGACTGGGACCACACGACCTACTACATCCCGTCACGGAGCCGCGGCAGCGCCCGCCGCCAGCGCCGGCCGGCCGCCGTACCTGGAGGTAGGGTATGGCGCGGACGCCGCCGACCAGCCGCACCATCGGCAGGTACTCCAGCAGCCGCTCCGTCAGGCCCAGCCGCAGGCCGTGCAGCCGGGAGCTGCGGTCCGTCTCCGGCTCGTCCACCTCGGCCGGCTGCGCGCACACACACTGACGTCAGCACTGGAGGCGGACGCGGCGACTGTGGCGGCGGGGGTCTGGCACACAGCGCTGCGATGCTCGGTTATCCGTCCGTTGCGCACGTGCGCTCCGGCCCGGCGTCCAGTCACACGGCCAAGATCGTTCAGAAGCTGCCAATCCCTTCTCCAAGCCCTGGTGCGCACTATCCAGCCATTCGCCCGATAGCGTGCTGGTCACCATCCAGCAGAACGCCGTCAAAGCTGCCGCACAAATGTATAAATTACCACCTCGTACGGCCCGGCCATTCCGACCCGCGTCTGCACAGGCGGCGCCTCGCCCCAGCCCGGCGCGCCGGCCGCCTCACCTGGTAGTGTCCGGGCGCGCCGACCGAGCTGGTCTCGCTGCGCGCGCCGGCGGCCGACTCGTGACCGGCGTCGCCGTAGGTGGAGCTCCGGCCGGACGTGTGCTCGCCGGCGATGCTGTCCACTACGCTGGCGCCGCTCTCGGAGCCGCCGCTGCCGGCCTGCCGCGCCCGCCGAGCCCGTCAGCAGCCGCACAGCCAGCCACGGCCCGCAGCTCGGGCGGCGGCAGTGGGAGGCAGCACGGGTGGGGGACAGCCTAGCGCGACAAATGCACGAAGACGGAAGGTGGCGAAGTGCCGAGGGTAGTTTGCTGACAGGTGGGTCGGCTGCTGGCAGTGGCGACCTAACGCTACCTAAACAAGCAAGATGATGGCGTGTTTCAGATGGAGTACGACGCACAACGATACCACTTCGTCTTCAGTAGCCGCCAATTACCATTTTTCGCACTACAATGTCCCACAGGTTAACTTCAACAGTCGGGATCCTCCCCTCCCCCCCCCCCCCCCCTCCCTCCGTTCACCTCAGATAATGCACCATGCAAAGGTCCTGCATCTCTACAGACAGCGTATCATCAGCCACGGACAAGGTGGCGAGTCCTTACAAGAGCGACCTCGGGTGAGGGCTGGCGGGCAACGGCCATTCCTTCTCCCCAGACTGCGGCAAGCCGCCACATTTGCGACACTCCCGCTCCAGTTCAGTTCACACAAATTTCGGACCCCGTTTCCCAGGGACTGTGGCTGCTCCCTCGGCCCCGGCGCCGACCCGGCCGCTGTGGCCGCAGGTCACCTGTTCGGCGGGCGAGGTGCGCAGCGTCGAGCCGTCGGTGGCCGCCGTCGAGCCCTCGTCGTCGGAGGCCGGCGCCGACGCCGTCGTGTCCGAGTAGTGGCCCTCGTTGGGGGCGCCGGCCGCGCCTGCCTCGGCGCCGCCGGCCGCTCCCAGCAGGTTCTGAGGCGCGCCAGGTCAGGCGCCGGTCAGCGGGGCGTCACGCCGGGAGCGGCGACGCCGGCCGGCGTCCGACCTCAGCCACAGCACGTGACACGGGGCATACGCCAACAACAGCGCAAGGGTTCTGCGGGCGGTCCCCATGAGTCCACCATCACACAACCGGGCACGTGTCGAAATAACGTTAAGTACTAAGAACTAAGGACGGGAGAGGGATGCTATCGTGAACTCCAGCGGAGCATAACACTGAAACACGTCAGGGCTACCGAAAAAGAGCAAGGGAAGGGAGCCTTGAGCCAGCGCGCCGTACCGCGCGGACACCAGCGCGCGCCGTTACCTGCAGCGGCTGGCCGCCCAGGTTCTGTAGGGCGTCCAGCCCGACCAGGCCCTGCAGGTGCTGGCGCAGGTTCTGCAGCGCCGGCGTGCCTTCCTGGTCCTGGTGACGTCACAACGGTATGCTCAGCGCTCCAGCGTGGCTCACGACCCGCACCAGCAGTCGGCCATCTGGCACGGTCCGACAGTCAAGATATGAGCTGGCATGAGAAGACAATGACAATTGCTGGCGCAAACCCAGCAATACCCCTGCCAAGCTGCGGCGGACTTTCGCACTAACCAGGGAGATTCCACGCGATCCCGTGAACATCGCCGGCCACGTCAGGTGGATCGGTCTCTGTCGTGCCCTGCCGACCCACCCGCGGTCCCGGATCGCTCCGACCGCGGTCAGCACCTCGGCGCCCGCCCGTCCGCAGGTGGCACCGCTCCGACCGCGGTCGGCACCTCAGCGCCCGCCCCGCCCGCAGCTGGCATCGCTCCGACCGCGGCCGGCACCTCAGCGCCGCGCCCCCAGTCCGCATCCGCTCGACCGCGGTCGGCACCTCGGCGCCCGCCGCGTCTGCAGCTGGCATCGCTCCGACCGCAGCCGGCACCTCAGCACCCGCCCCGTCTACAGCTGGCATCGCTCCGACCGCGGTCAGCGCCCGCCCCGTCCGCAGCCGGCCGCACCTGCCGCGGAGTCGGCCGAGCTCACCTGCAGGCTAAGCGCGATCGCCAGCTCGACCATGGTCTCGTCGTCGGCGTCCGGCGGCAGGTCCAGCAGCGGCGGCAGGCCCTGCGCCTGCGCCAACAGCGACTCCACGTCCAGTCCGTCCGACTCCAGCTCGTCGTCATCGTCGTCGCCCGGCTCGGCCGTCTCGTCCACGAGCACAGCGGCGGGCGGCTCGGGCGGCGGCGTGGCGGCGGCGGCGCGGCGGCCGGCCGCGCCGCGCGCCGAGCTCGAGCTGGCCGACCGCTCCAGCGAGGCGGGCCGGCAGCGCCTGCCGAGAGCGGCACCGTGAGTCGGGTGGATGGCAGGTCGCGAGAGCGACGAAGGCAGGGTGCGACAGGCCGCGAAAGCGACGGAAACATGGTACGACAGGCCGCGAGAGCGACGGAAGCACAGTGTGACATGATGCAATGCAAATCAACTTTTTTCAAATATGCAAAAAGCACCCTGTAAATCCTCGCCACAGCACAAGGGGCACGAAATCAAGACAGCCATGACAGCCACGCACCCCGAATAGTCAATGAACACCGCCTCCCCGCCCCCTGGGCACGCACCGGGCGTGGAGCAGCGCGGCGGCGAGGGGATGAAGACGCGGCGGCGGCGCTGCTTGGGTCGGAACACGCGAATCAGGCCCTGCTTGGCGGCGAAGCTGACGGCCCGGTCGTCGCTGAGCAGCAGCCGCGAGATGACGACGGTCAGTGGCGCCGCCAGCTCCGGCTCCGTCGTGAAGAAGGCGTACAGCACGTCCGAGAGCGCGTACACGCACGTCTCCGGGTGCGTCAGGCCTGCCCGGCAGCGCACCGCGTCAGGGGAGCAGGCGCCACGCGGCGCGACCATGACGCGCTGTGAAGCGCAGGCCGCTCGGGGCTGGGTGTTCGGGACAACACAGCAAGGTCGCGATTTGAATTTTATGCCCGTCAAGCACGCCACCGCGACGTTAGCAGGTGGCGCTTGGCACGAACGGCCAGCCTAACAACTATAAACGCAAATGCAAAACAGCAATCCGCTGGCAATCACATTTCAAAACACCGATCACTGATCCCGCCGAGGCGGCGTCCCGCCCCGGTTCTGCCGCCCGGCCGGGCGTCCCTCACCGGGCAGACAGACGGGCGCCGTGAGAGCGTTCTCCGGCTGGGCGTCGTGCAGCCGCCAGAACAGCGCCATCAGCAGCGACACGAAGTCGGCGCCGCCGCTGTCCGGTTTGTCGTCGCCCTCTGCCGGCCACCGACGGGGGACTGAGGGCTCGTGCTCACGTGGCGGTCACCCGCGCCAGGCACGCACGAGACCGACAGGTCATGGCGAATGATAGCACAGCTGCTTAACGTCGGGAAAGGACACACACTTTCACATTGGCGCTGGAGAGGGCACCTGCCTCCTCGACCACGTTCGGCCGTCGCTGAAGGGAACAGAGGCGCAAGTGCGGCCGAACTCTGCTGATTACAGCTGCGGTCGAGCTCCAGTGATTACAGCTAGCGAACATAGCGACGACGGCTGCTCCATGCCTTGTGTCCGCCAAAGCCGTCCGTACCTCCCTTCACGACCGTGTATTTCACCAGGTTGGCCGGTCGGCAGATGGCGATGTTGCGAGAGGTCACCACCAGGTGGTGGAAGAGCTCCGAGTCCAGGTTACGCGACTCGGCGTTGGCGTCCATCTTGCGCAGCATCTTCCACACGTGATTCAGCTTCGACTGGTCCTGCCAGGCCGCACCAGTCGCGATGCTGTTACAGCGCTACCCTCACACGAGCCTGTCGTCCGATCTCCACGGACGTGTCGTGAGCACATGTCCCATGTCAACCATCAGTAACACTATATTGTGAGTTGGGAGTTCTTAAGCTGAAAGTGGTCAACCTCCAATACACCGAATGATGTAACGATGCCGTAAAAGCGGGAACCCCAGGCTCCTCTTGCTTATACTACGTGCAAAAATAACATGATCAAGGATCTGTGACACGAAGAGGATAGCCAGGGGCTGCACACAGCTTCTATGTTCTAGCGTTCCCCCGGTGCTGCAGTGGCTGCAGCGGGCCCAGCCCCCACCCACCCATCGGCGCCCGGCGGCGGCCGGCTACCTTGTGGCTGTAGTAGGCCTGGCGGGAGGTATGCAGGGCGGCCAGCAGCGCGTCCACCTGCGTCAGCACCTGGCCGACCGGCGGCGCCTCCAACTGCACCAGCGCCGTGCACAGCTCGAGCGCCGCGGCCCGCTGCGGGTCCGACTCGGGCGCCGCCACCACGCACCCCTCCATCGTCTCCAGGGCGCTGGTCACCAGTCTGAGGAGAGGGGAGATGTCAGAGCTACCACCCCTCCAGCGTCTCCAGGTCACCAGTCTGCAGACAGGGGAGAGGTCAGAGCTATCACCCCTCCAGCGTCTCCAGGCCACTGGTCACCAATCCGACAGCTGGTCACATACCGATCAATTCCGTTGCACATGACCGTCTTTACGGCCTCTGGCGAGCGAGGAGAGGGAGCTGGGCTGGCCATTACAAAGTGGGTGATCTGCAGCACGAGTGAACCCTATATACAGTTAAAGGTGGATGACTCAGGGCTACACAACTGTCACAATGGACGGGGCCCAAACCCGGGCAGAAAAAAACCGTGATGGCAGACGCCACAGAGCGAGTCACTCCAAGACGTATTATTCGTATTCGTATTCGTCGTAACGTATTCACACAGCGGCGCCCGTGCCAGTGCCGAGGCAACAAGGCGCCAACCCCATAGGGCGGTCGAAACAGCGAGGCGCCGCGCCCAGCACAACCGCAGACGGTAGTCTCACTTGTCGAGCGCCGTGAGCGGCAGCACGGCGGCGGCGCTGCCCTCCTGCTCGCTGCCCGGCGTCAGGTTCGTGCCCGACGCGGACGGCGATGACATGTACTCGTCGCTGTCCTCCGGCCAGTCGAAGCTCTCCTTCGTCTTGCCGTAGCTGAAATGGCGACGGTTAGCTGCATACCGGCAGTGAATGGCCGAGATTCGTCGAAGGGTGGCGGGCGCAGACGACAGGCATGGTGGGCGTGCGGATACATGTATGAAACGCGAGATGCGCTAGTATCCTGCCAAGCAACATTTCCTAATGCAGTAATAAGACATATACCCCACACGGCGCGCTTCGCCCAGACCGACACAGCCTCAGACGGGGGCCAAGATGTTGCTACCAAGTGTCTTAACATCATGTCCGAGCCCGGTGTAGCCGCAGCAGCGACGACGCAGCAGCGGTCACCGACTCCCCGAGCGGTCCCGCACGAGGTTACAAGACCAACCACCGGCAGCCCATCCCGCGCCTGCGAGCGGCCGGCGGTGCCTCACATTTTCAGCGAGTCCACCATGGTGACGCCGGACGGGTCCGGGGACGGGCCGAACGTGATGACCAGCCGGCGGTCGGCCTGCAGCGACTCCTCGCGCGTGAGCGGCACGTCGAACCAGCGCGCGCGCGTGCAGTGCAGCGGCACGCTGCGGCCCAGCAGCTGCGGGGCAGGCAGTCAGAGCTCGTCAGGACAGAGCCTTTACAACGCGGCGGGCGAGCATGGCGACGAGAAGGCACTTAGTGGGGCCCGGTCTCTTCAAGGGCCGGGCTGAACTTCGCTCGGGTTTGCCAGGACTTCGGACGCTAGCGCAGATAAAACCAAGGTGTCACCCTTTCACATATTCACATAAAACAGACGTATCTGCTTGAGTTTCACTAGACTGCTGTAAGGTTCTTACTAGTCAGCGCCGATTTGAAAGACCACCTTACACTCTTCCGAACATTCAGACGATTCCAGCACTTCCCACTTGCACCCCCAGTCCAACCAACACCGGTCGCCTTCCACCCGCGCCCCTCGCCAGCCCAGCGCGGCCCGCACGTCTTGCCGTCAGCCGGCGCTCACCTCGACGGTAGCTGGGGCTGCGCTGCGGGATCCTGCGAGGCCGACCATGATCTGCCACGCCGCAGATCACCATCGCCGAAGTCGCCGTTAGTCACCTCCAGGATGAAGGCCTGGACGGCTTGGTTGGACGCGATTTGTACATGCCTGCCGGAGCGTCCGGTCAGTCGGCGGCAGGGCAGACGGCGGCCGGTCAGTCGGCGACCCGTCACAGTCGGCGGCCGGTCAGGCGGCGGCCGGTCAGGGCCGGCCGTTCAGGACGGCGGCCGGTCAGTCGGCGGGCCGGTCAGCTCGTGCCGTCAGTCCGGTGCGACTCGCGTCGGCCCGGTCAGTCGGTGGCCGACTAGGCGGCGGACGGTCAGGCTGGCGGGCCGGTCCTCTCGTCGGCGGCCGGTAGGCGCGGCCGGTTAGGCGGCGCGGCCGGTCAGTCGGTGGCCGGTCAGGCGGCGGCCGGCCAGGCGACAGCCGGTCAGTCGGTGGCCGTTCAGTCTGCGGCCGGACAGGCGGCGCCGCCGAGTCAGTCGGCCGGCCAGGCGGCGGGACGGTCCGGCTGCGCGGCCGGCCAGGTGGCGGCCGGTCAGGCGGCGGGTGCACGCTGCACAACGGTCGGCGACGCCAGCAGCCAGGAGGAAGACGCCGCCACTCATCGGTGTGACCTGCACGCGCACCACGAGCTGGCGGAGTCTGGCAGCGGCCGGGTGTGCGGGCGTACACTCCGACGCCGGCGTGCACTTGAGCGGACGAGGGGTGACACGCGGTGACAGGAATCTCCCGATACCGGTGCACGACTGACATGCGCACGTGTTTTCACGCAGCCACGGAGACCGACTCAATATCAACTCTACGTGGGCAACGCTTTCAAACCCGTAGCACAGCAAATAACGGCGCTGGCTACACTGGCATGCACCGTGATACTGGGCACAAACCGCGCCACCAGACCCGACCTCCACCACACCCCGTCCTCGAACGCCTCCGGGCTTCTCACCTGTCATGGAGAGCCGCTGCTTAACCTGCTGCGTGTTGTACACCTGCAGCACGTCGTCGCCGCCGTACTCGACGTCGTTCATGGGCTGGCAGCCCTCGAAGAAGTCGGGCGGGAATTGGACGGCGCCGGCAGCGCGGCTTGGCTTGGGCGCCTTCTTCTTGCGCGGCGGCCGCAGCGAGGCCATCACACTCGTCGGGTTCAGCGAGGACGACAGCCAGAAGCCTGGCCGTCCGGGAGAGAGGGGTCAGCAAGGACGACAGCCAGAAGCCTGGCCATCCGGAAGAGAGGAGTCAGCGAGGACGACAGCCAGAAGTCTGGCCGTCAGGGGGAGAGGGGTCAGCGAGGACGACAGCCAGAAGCCTGGTCATCCGGGAGAGAGGGGTCAGCGAGGACGAGAGCCAGAAGCCTGGTCATCCGGGAGAGAGGGGATCAGCTAACAGTCTGGCCGCAGCACACGGCGGTCTGGGCCACCAGCCTGAGACCACGAGGAAGAAGGGTCGGGTGGAGCGGGGAGAGCACATTCGTGCTTAGATCCGGAAGATGGCGCGTCGGGAGCGGGGAGCGGTGCGCCATGTGTTTTGCGGAGCGATCTTTTCAGACCAGTGCGTGACATCACCTTGCACCTGAATCGAGTCGACAAAGACCTGAGCCCAAAACTACACCCTACCCGTCAAGGCATTGGACCACCTCCGGCTCTTCCGCCGCTCGCACTGAGCCGCTACCCACCCCGTCGGCCCAGCCCGCAATCCCTCACGCCTCCGTTCCGTCCCGCGCCAGCCTCACCCCGGGCCACCAGTCCAGCCGCGCCCGCGCCACTGACCGGTGCGCTCTGGCGAGGCCATGTAGATGCGCAGGCTGCCGTCCTCGCAGAGCACGATGAGCGTGGTGCGCCGGTCGCTGCCGGCCGTCGGGTGGCGGATCACCACCATGTCGGTGATCTTCGACTTGGACGGCACGATGCGGATCTCCTGCACCGAGACCGAGTCCGGCTTCACCATCAGGATCACCGGGTTGTTGCCTGCGGCGGAGAGCGGCCGGAGGTGAGAGGCGCGTCGCTGGCGGGTCGCCGGCCGCGCCAGACCGGCCGGCACCCGGCTGGGGTTGGAGGCGGCGTAGGTGTGGTGACGCGCGGTGGTCACGGCCTGGCGACAGGTCGCAGAGCAAGGGAGCAGCATGCCACACCGACTGACTAGCCCTCTGTCTGCACCCGATCTCACCGGGTGTGGGCACTGCATGGACAGGTGGGTCAAACTCCGGGGACTGCACAGACAGGTGGGCCAAACTCCGGGGACTGCACAGACAGGTGGGTCAAACTCTGGGAACTGCACGGACAGGTGGGTCAAACTCTGGGGACTGAACAGACAGGTGGGTCAAGCTCATTGCAGTGAACGCCTTTGGTGAGGCAGACCCACGCCTGCACTCCCTGATTAACGGTATACGGTGCAACGAGACCCACACCCAAGGACACCCACTGCCGTCACTGAGCTCTGTCTGGAGAACCAGATATGACTCACTGCCCTGTGTCACTGAACTCTGTCTCAAGACACCAAAGGTAAGGTGACCTACTGCTCTGTGCCACTGAGCTTCGTCTCAAGACACCAAGGGTGCCCCACTGCCCCGTATGACTGAGCTCCGTCAGCAGACACCAGAGGACACTCACTGCTCTGTGTGACGGAGCAGACGAGGCCCGGGTGGCCGATCACCTCGCTCCACTGGCACAGCGGCTGCGAGTTGGGCTTGCCCGAGCCCGACGGCTTCAGCTGGATCTGCGTCAGGTTGTCCAGCTCCGTCCCTGCGGCGCGGTGCGACGCTGAGTGGCAGCAGCGGCCACACATGGCTCAACAACGAACAAACATAGCCATCACCGGCAACGGCTCTCAAATGATTAAAAACACCTAACAGCGACGGTCCAAGATAATCAACACTCGGTGTAATGTTGTTTGAGCCCGCATCAGAGTCCGTTCTATTAACATTAGGAATGCAGCTATTTGTTAAGTGATGTGTTTAGTGGCAATCATAATTGTGTCAAAACGTTCATCGAGGGAGCTCCGACAGCTAAACTGCATGGTCCAGATGGTAAGTATTATAAACGGAACCAATTTCTAGTCGATCTAAGAATGCTGGCAGCAATGACTGAAGAAGACTGCTACCAGAATACTACTAGCATTGTTCTAACTAATGCTACATGGATGGCCTTACCAATACTGGTCAGAGGCGCCAAGAAGCTCTTGCCCTGCGTATAGCTGAAGAAGAGCAGCTGCAGCACGTGCGAGTAGTAGATGGCCACCCCTCCGCCACAGATCTGGCCGTTGGACCACTGCAGGGGACGATATCATTAAACCTGCATCTGATCATCATATACATATATATACACTGAATGCAAACTTTTGGTAACTGCAAGAGGCACCCACCACGCCACCGATGGATGGAAAGTCAGTAAACAACCGCAACACCAATAGACGGCAGTCTGTGAAAGAGTGCCACAACAACGAGCAAGCGCGACCCATTTAACAAGGTCCGACACTGACCCCCTCGAAGGCACGTCCGTCCATCGGCCGTTACCTTGACTTCGGGGTGCGACAGGTCCAGGATGTTGGTGACGTAGAAGGGGCCGTGCTGGGCCGAGCTCTCCTCGTTGATCTCGACCGTGTAGATCAGTCCGGTGGACGACATGATGATGACGTGTCGGGAGCCGTCCTGGTGGGAGGGTGACGTCAGACCGCGGCCGGCAGCGGCGTAACCCGCTCACAGCGCTCACACGGCAGTACGGCAGATAGACGACTGACAACAGTCAAACATACTGCAGCGTCGTGGAAGAAACGGTCCCGACCTGGTAATGGATGCAAACTTTCATGACGCACAATACATGGTTTACAAGACGAGTGCTGAAACGATCTCACGCGAGTGATTGTTTCAGCACGTCAGAGGAGGAACAAAGGGAAACGTCACCAGCCGATGCACAACCATCCCGCGAGACAACATGTCAAGCATTCACAACGACTTCGAACTCTCGACCTAACAGACGCTCCACTCTACGACACCCACCAGGACCGTCGCCGTAACCCCCACTCTCACACGGCACCCATCGAGCACCCTGGCCATCACCGGTGCGCAGCTAGGCCAGGCGCCGCCGACGCCCGCCGCCTCGCCGCTTGCCTGCATGTTGGCCACGCAAGCGTCCCGGATCTTGCCGCTGGGCAGCAGGAAGAAGTGGTGCGGGCTGAGCACGTCCTTGCCGAGGTCGTACAGCTTGACGAAGTCGGCCGTGATGATGGCCAGCGCCGTCTGCGAGCCGGGCAGCCAGCGGGCGCTGATGATGAAGTTGCCCGTCTCCAGCTGCGGCTGCAGCACCAGGTGGTCCGACACGGCGCCCGAAGAGCTGAACGTCAGTACGTGGCAGTCCTGCCGGGGAAGGGCAAGGTCAGGCGAGGTCAAACCACTCAGCGACAGCGCAGCAGGGTCAGAGGTCACATTCTGAACGTCAACACGTGACAGTCCTGTCTGGCGAGGGTAAGGTCAGGCGAGGCCAAACATCTGAGCGACAGCGCGACATGGTCAGAGGTCATATACTGAACGTCATCCCGTGACGGACTTGACCTCAGGTGTGCGGTCGGGGTCAGGCGCAGCGTCACACTTCACCAGACACAGCCATAAGAGTCAGACAACGTTAGAAGCATCGCAGATGAGCGCTTAAGTCAGATAGCCTAGCGGACATGGCCGGGACGACACACAGTACGAAAGGGGTGCCATGCTTTCAAGTGAGCTGGTTTCACACAGGCGGACTAACGAACGTGCCCAAAAACAAAACAAACAAACAGCGCAGGCAATCAACAACATTGCAAGCAGCGATGCAAAGTGCCGGAAGACACCCGCAAGAACAATGGTTTCCTGTGCGAACGGCTCAGCGGCGGCCTGTGTCCTGCGAAATTGACCACCCCGGGGCGAGCGGGCTGCGGCCAGCAAACGCAGCTGGCGTCCGCTGAGAAAGCGGCACATGCGTGCTGTCCCGGACAGGGCACACCCTTCTAAAAGCCGGGCATGAACGTGCGCCAGCTGTCGCAGGCGCGCCATGTGGTCTGGGGCGCGATCGTGTGTAGACTGGAGGTGAGACGACAGACAGAGAGTAGTGAGCCATCGGCGGCAGCGGCCGGAGCGCGACCGATGCTGGTCTGGACCATTCGCGTGCGTTGCGGTGTGATGAGCAGCGGTTCTGACCGGATCCGTCGCGATGCTTACCCACACCGCTCGTGCTTAGGGGACGCCTTCGCAGGCAATAACGGCGACAAGAACCCGGAAACGCCCCTTGACCTCCCTGGCCTGCGTCCACTATCGTCGCGCCGAGGCAGAAGCGCGTCATCGCAGTCTGTTTCCCAGCCGATCACGGCCGCTCTGCTGCCCGTCGCGCGCCGCCCACCTTGAGACCGCAGACGGCCAGCACGTCCTCGTTACACGGGTTGCTGGAGATGCTGAGCACGGTGAAGGGCACGGGCGCCGACGCCAGGCGGGTCAGCGTCAGCTTCCGCTTGGCGGCGTCGCCCTGCTTCAGCAGCGCCGACAGCTGCAGCACGGCCAGCTTGCCCTTCTCGTGCGACACGGCTGCGGAGGGGCGCCGCCGGGTCAGCAGGGTCACGGGCCCGACCCGGACGGGCTCGGCAGAACCACGGCTCACAGGTGGGGCGGGTGGGGCGCCGCCGGGTCAGCAGGGTCACGGGCCCGACCCGGGCGGGCTCGGCAGAACCACGGCTCACAGGCGGAGCGGGTGTGGCGCCACCGGGCGGCAGGTTACAGCCCAAGCATACTCAATTGGCGCGAGTAATGAACGTGGGAGGCTTCATGAAACGTCCATGCCTACACGTGGGTGGTGTCTGCATGAATCGAGGTGAATACTAGACCAAGAGGTCTGGCTCGAACCCTGTCTAGAAACCGACGTCCACCGAATACACCCATTCATACTCTCGAAGGCCTCATTCCATCACGGCAGACGCCTCAAGAAGCAGACGGAACTACCACGCCGCCCCGCTGACTACCGCATCATGCCCGAGCACTGCGTCACACCGGCAAATCCTGTCACGTCGGCACATACCGCGTCACACCGGCACATGCCGTGTCACACCGGCACATGCCGCGTCACACCGGCACATCCTGCGGCACACCCGCACATGCCACGTCACACCGGTGCATGGCGCGTCACACCGACGCATCCTGTGTCACACTGGCACATGCCACGTCACACCGGCACATCCCGCGGCACACCGGCACACCCGCGTCACCTCCGGACCGCAGCACGCGGCACCCGTCTACCCGCCGTCTCACTGACCGAGGTGCTGCCGCTTGCCGTGCGGGCTGCTCAGGCAGCACATGGAGACGCGTCGGATCATGTGGGCCGACACCAGCTGCCGGATCGTCTGGCCCTGCTCGCCGGCGAACGTCATGCGCACGTTGTCGAACGCGCCCTCCTGCGAGCCCAGCGTCGGCACCTGGCGGGCGGCGGCGCACGCGGGTGAGGCCACACGTCCTCAGGAGGACCACCGACGCCGTGCGTTTCACTGGTGTCTTGAATTGTTGCGTAGCACACCATGCTCGTGATTATATAGAGACGCGTTCGATAGGATTATGCATCCTAACATGATTGGTCACCACATTCCAAACCCAAATACGCCCACCCATGGTCCGGTAGTTATGATAAACGCAGGTTCTTAACGTTCCATTAGCCACACCATGTAACCACGGCAGTCACACTACCGCACGCATTCTCGTCCGAGTGACCGCCGCGTGTCATGCTGCCGCCTCTCCCGCCCGCTTGGTGCCCCCTCCTCCTCATCCCCCCAGCCGCGTGCCATCCCACCATCAGCGTGTCGGTGGTGTCGAACGTCTTCTCGACGGTGTGCAGCTGGGCGAGCGCGTCAGCCACGCGCTGGTGAGCCCCGATGGGCGAGGTGCGCCGGCTGCTGGCCGACAGCGCCGGCAGCAGCAGCCGCACCAGCTCCAGCACGCTCGACAGCACGTCCGAGCTGTGCAGCTCCGCGTAGATGGCGTCCTTGTACGGCTCTGGCGGCGAGGCACGTGGCCAGGTCAGCTGGGTGAAAGGGGGCGCGGGGAGGGGCGAATAATGCTGAAAAGGGTCCTGCTAGTGTCCACAGAGACGTGATTATTTCTCATGCATTACGTAGAGACGCCACATGGCAAGCGCAGAGCCTATCTCCGACGTCACAATAATTTAATCCAGATTCAAGTCTGGCGACCAAAGGGGAAATGATTGCAACCCAAAGACCATCGATCAGATGAAAGCATGGCACAAACGGCATGCCAATTACCAGCATAACAGGATGGCACAGCCAAAGACGGGGCAACCGTCCACCCTTCCACCACAACTCCACACGTCCCCCGCCCTTCCCAGCCCCATCCCCAGCCTCTGCTGCAGCCCTCTCACCGAGCCGCCTGCTGAGCGCCTGGCGTCCGCGCACGTTCTGCTCGCGGTACTTGTCGGGCCTCTCGTGACTGAGCGCGCTGTGGCGGCGGCGCAGCAGCGACGGCAGCATGGTCTCGGCGCCGAACGGGCCGGCGCCCGAGCCGGCGCCGGCGCCGCCGCTGCCGGCCGCCGCCGGCTCCGGCTGCCGGTTGCGCTTCACTAGCGCCTGCCGGCCGGGAGGACGCGGTTGGACGCGGCGGAGACGACCGGGCGCACGACGGGGCGGGGCGGGCGCGCCACCGGCGGTGACGGGTCAGCGGCGGTGTGGCGGCGGCGGCGGGTGGTGAGGAAGGCGAGACGGTGAGCGGACGACGGCGGCGGTGCGATGGTGAGTCAGGCGCTTTTGAAATGAGCGTTCACCAGCAAAGCGTTCTTGAACACGTTAAGACAGCCATCTCCGCGCCTGCTCACCAGCTACCGCTCGTCAGAACCACTGCCCGCTGTCATCGAACACGCAGACACAGGAGGCGTAGCATGAGCACACCACGACGACGAGCACTGCGCGTGCAGGTGACCACCCTCCCGCAAGCGTCCGGCGGTGCCAGCCGGCGGCGCGCCCCTACCTGGCAGCTGGAGTCCTCCTTGGCGCCACAGTCGCAGAAGAAGCTGCCGTGCTTGGCGTAGGTGACGTCGTGCCCCTTGTGACAGACGCGCACACACACCGAGCAGACGCCGACCGAGTCCAGCATGCTGCACGTGTGGCAGTGGTACCAGTGCTGGTTCATGTACTCCTTCTGCGTCACCGTGAACGTACACAGCTTGTTGTTCAGCGAGTCCTCGTCCTGGCGGACAGGGCAAGCGAGACGGGCCATTAGTTACATGCGCCGGCACGTTGCAGCTCTTTAGCACAGCGACGCGTCGCAGTGGTCATGCTCCGCGCAGTTCGCGCCCAGCAGGCTGGTAGCAGCGACCACGTTCCCAGGCCTTTCACAGCCCACGTGGATCTGGCCACGGCTGTGCTCAGTTCTATCCCAAGTTTACACACGTGCACCCAGAAGTCTACACCTTCCTGACGCATGATACGCCCGCCAACCGCCACTTCTGGACAACGAGAAACAAAGCAGCACCACTAAACGACACCCAGTCGGCAAGAGGCCGGCCCTAGCCCCGGCCCTTCCCCCTCCCCTCCCCCCCCCCCCCCCCCCGTGAACTCGGTCCGATGTGTCCGATTGGGCACCGCCCCGCGTCGCGTACCGAGTCGTCGGCGTCACTGTCGTCGTCGTGCAGCTCGTCGCCCCACTCGGTGTCGGCCTCCAGCACGGACGTGTCGCCCTCCAGCGGCGGCGTGGCCAACCCCGACTGACCGGGGTGGCGCCAGTGGTCGCCCAGCATCTGGAGCGGCAGCGGCGGGTCAAGGGAGCGGAGACACGACGAGATGTGGCAGCGGATACGCACTCACGTACGCACGCACGCGCGCGCGTACGCACACACGCACACGCACACGCAAACGCACACGCACCCACCCATCCCCCTGCTCTCACTCGTTCGCATGACCTCCGCTGAGCCCCTGCTACCCCCGGCGGCTACCTTGAGAGCCAAGACGATGTCGCTGAGGTAGGTCATCAGGCAGCAGGCGAAGGTGACCACGTCCGTGTGTCGTCCCGAAACCACGCCCTCCCCCAGCTTGTCCACCACGTCCTTCTTGCACAGGTACTCCTTGCTGCCAACACACGCCGCTCTTATGAACATTTGGGTACAGGTAGTGCTTGCTGCAAATATTCGGTGGTCCCACTAGACAACGGCTGCGGTGCGGAAGCATTTTCAGTGCATCCTGCCCAGTCATAAACAAGCGAGAATGCTTGAGGGGAAATGGTTCGCAAAATGCCTAATCTATCCATCTCAACAATGCTCCTCAACAAGCAGCAAGCTACTTTTACGGCCTACAGCTAAAAACATACAAGACATTACAGACAGATGTGCAGACTGTTCCAATATTTCACATCCTGCAGCACCCAATCAATAACTGCCTCTCCATTTGGCGAGGATTTCGCTCCGCTCCGTTCTGTCCCCCACCCCCACGCAGGCAGACGAGGGTTCCCTCCTCCACCCCTACAGACACACACTTGCACGCCGAGTCTGCGCCGCGGCGTGCCGGCCGCGGCGTGGCCGTACCAGGTGTTGAGCCACTGGGCGCAGGCGCCGAACAGCCGGACGTGGCCCTGGCCGGCTCCGGCCGAGGCCAGCGTGGCCATGGCCGTCACCAGGCCGCCGTGCGCGGCCGTCAGCGACGCCGGCGTGAACAGCTCGCCGCCCATCACCGTCAGCGTGTTCAGGATGACGCGCGGCACCTCCTCACTGACGGCGCTGCAACGGCGGGCGGGGCGGGCCGTCAGCGCCGGTGGTGCACGCCAACTCCTCACGGGCAACACCGACATGGGACACGGTGTCAGCTCACTGGCACGGGACACGGTGTCAGCTCACTGGCACGGGACATGGTGTCAGCTCACTGGCACGGGGCACGGTGTCAGCTCACTGACACGGCACACGGTGTCAGCTCACTTACACGGGACACGGTTCCAGCGCACTGGCACGGGACACGGTGTCAGCTCACTGACACGGCACAAGGTGTCAGCTCACCGACACTTGACACGGTGTCAGCTCACTTACACGGGAGACAGTTCCAGCTCACTGACACGGGACACGGTGTCAGCTCACTGACGGGGAACACGATGTCGGCTCAATGATACAGGACACAGTGTCAGCTCACTAACATAAAAAACGCTGTCGGCTCACGGGACACGGTGTCAGCTCACCAGGTCACGCATGACACCTTCTTACTGACAGCGCTAGCCAGGAACACCCTGCCACGGACGTCAAAACACCGCAGTTGCGTCACAGACAAGAGTGAGATACGTCCCGTTCGCACGTTCACCCCATGCCAACGTCTAGGTCACGTCCATCTCTCTTCGCCCATCCTCCGGCAACACCACTCAGCGCGCTCCGTAGCCCACTCACGCCTCGCCGCGTCGGCTTCGGCGGTTTTTCAGCGAGCGCCGCGGAGCGGCCCGGAGCCAACTCCTGCTCACGAGCGCCGACACGCATGCAGCCGCCGTTCGGCGGGCGAGCGCGGCCGGTGAGCGCTGACCTGCCCGCCGCGCCGGCCGCCACTGACCTGTCCTCCCTGACCAGGTACTGCGTCACGCTCTGCAGCAGCTGGCGGCTCTCGAGGCGCTCGTTCCTGCCGGCCGACGACTCGTCGCCGCGGTCGCCGAGCGACACCACCAGCTTGCCGAGCCAGAGGCGCAGCCGCTCCGGCTCCACCCGGGCCAGGCCGTCCAGCGACGCGCACAGCTCGCGGAGCTCGTCGCCGGGCTTGTCCGCTGCGGGCGGCGGCGGCGCGCGGCTCAGCGAGCGACGGTGGAACGTCGGGTTTGGCCGTCAGGAAAGCCCGGCAGCGCTCATGGCTGGTGGCTAAATGATACCCAATGCCCGAAATGAGCCCACGCCCGAGTCGTCGTTTGACGCTTATGGCATGTACACCACCGACCACCTAAAATGGCAAGGAAACCATCCGCCAGACTATGGAAGGTATGCGACCATATCTACTTTAAGTGCGTAGATAAAAGTTCCTTCCCCAATGCGCTGGTGGGCTACAAAAATATCAGTGTCCTAGTGCACGGCAGTCGACGCATTTTGAGCAAACCCAGCACACTGCCTGACCCACCAGCTTGGAAGAGCTTGTCGCAGAACTTGAGGACAAGCATGCCGTAGTTGAAGCTGAGCCGCTGGCTGGAGGCGGACAGCAGCACGGTCATCAGGAACGTGCTGTCCTCCTTGTGCACCTTGGCGAGCGCCGCGCGCCCGGCCGGCACCTCCAGCATCGACTCCAGGCAGCGGATGCACTCTTCGCACACCGACTCGTTGATGTCCCTGCGGGCAACGGCAGAGACTGGTGGTGCCGGTCGCTACACCGAGGCATCATAGAGGCACACCACCCGCGTCCGCTGATGGCGCGACGGGGGCCACGCAGCGCTCGAGGAGCGTGTTCTGCTGGCACGGCCGGAGCAGCCAATACCAGAATGGGAACGTTCCAATGAAGAAATCTACTGTCTCCGTGGGGGCGTTACCCGTGTGTGGAGATCTTGATCCCTTCTTACCCTACTAAGCCTTGAATATTTTCATAAAGAGCCTGACACACCGCGGACACCATCTGTCCTCCCCAGCCGTGCCCTTCACTCTGCTGCCGAGCCGCGAGATAACGTGTTGAACCCCTGCACAAGTACCCATTCACTCTAACACCCTCACCTACGCCACCCCTCCCCAAACACGCCCTCCCACGTGCTCCTCCCCTCCCCCAAACACCACACACTTACGCGTCCTGGCTGACGAGGCGGACGATGGCGTACACGTGCCGCACCACCAGCTGGCAGGCCGTCTGCTGGAACGAGTCCGAGTCGGTAGCGCCCACCATCGTCGTCACGTCGAAGTGCGCCACGGCCGACTCGCAGCTGAGGTCCAGCACCAGCGGCAGCAGCACGCGCGACAGGTCGGCGCGCGCCCGCTCGTCCGACGAGCGCCACCTGGCGGCGGGGCGCCGGCGCCACCGGTCAGACGCTGCGAGAGGGGCGGGGGTGGGCGAGGTGGCGGGAGCCCTCTGCGGGGCAGCGGCAGGGCCGCGGGTCAGGGTCCGACGCCGGGCAGGAGGACGACGGTGGATCATGTGGCGGCTGTTCTCTCTGCGAGAGAGCTGAGGGTAACGAGAAGGACGCCGATGGCCGGGTGCGGGGCAGGCCAGACGTCGGGAGCCCTCCGTAGGGGAGAGACGAGGGCTGGGTGCGGGGCAGGCCAAACATCGGGAGCCCTCCGCAGGGAAGAGACGAGGGCTGGGTGCGGGACAGGCCAGACGTCGGGTGTCCTCCGCAGGGGAGAGACGAGGGCTGGGTGCGGGGCAGGCCAGACGTCGGGTGCCCTCCGCAGGGAAGAGACAAGGGCTGGGTGCGGGGCAAGCCAGACATCGGGAGCTCTCCGCAGGAAAGAGACGAGGGCTGGGTGCGGGACAGGCCAGACGTCGGGTGCCCTCCGCAGGGAGAGACGAGGGCTGGGTGCGGGGCAGGCCAGACGTCGGGTGCCCTCCGCAGGGAAGATACGAGGACTGGGTGCGGGGCAGGCCAGACGTCGGGAGCCCTCCAGAGGGAAGAGACGAGGGCTGGGTGCGGGGCAAGCCAGACGTCGGGAGCCCTCCAGAGGGAAGAGACGAGGGCTGGGTGCGAGGCAGGCCAAACATCGGGAGCCCTCCGCAGGGGAGAGACGAGGGCTGGGTGCGGGGCAGGCCAGACGTCGGGTGCCCTCCGCAGGGAAGAGACGAGGGCTGGGTGCGGGGCAAGCCAGACAGTCGGAGCTCTCCGCAGGGAGAGACGAGGGCTGGGTGCGGGGACAGGCCAGACGTCGGTGCCCACTCCGCGAAGAGACGAAGGGCTGGGTGCGGGGCAGGCCAGACCGTCGGGTGCCCTCCGCAGGGGAGAGACGAGGGCTGGGTGCGGGCAGGCCAGACGTCGGGAGCCCTCCGCAGGGAAGAGACAGAGGCTGGGTGCGGGGCAAGCCAGACGTCGGAGCCCTCCAGAGGGAGAGAGACGAGGGCTGGGTGCGGGGCAAGGCAGACATCGGGAGCCCATCCGCAGGGGAGAGACGAGGGCTGGGTGCGGGGCAGGCCAGACGTCGGGTGCCTCTCCGCAGGGAAGAGACGAGGGCTTGGGTGCAGGGGCAGGCCAGACGTCGGGTGCCCTCCGCAGGGAGAGACGAGGGCTGGGTGCAGGGCAGGCCAGACGTCGGGTGCCCTCCGCAGGGGAGAGACGAGGGCTGGGTGCGGGGCAGGCCAGACGTCGGGAGCCCTCCGCAGGGGAGAGACGAGGGCTGGGTGCGGGGCAAGCCAGACATCGGGAGCTCTCCGCAGGAAAGAGACGAGGGCTGGGTGCGGGGCAGGCCAGACATCGGGAGCCCTCCGCAGGGGAGAGACGAGGGCTGGGTGCGGGGCAAGCCAGACATCGGGAGCCCTCCGCAGGGGAGAGACGAGGGCTGGGTGCGGGGCAGGCCAGACGTCGGGTGCTCTCCGCAGGGAAGAGACGAGGGCTGGGTGCGGGGCAGGCCAGACATCGGGAGCCCTCCGCAGGGGAGAGACGAGGGCTGGGTGCGGGGCAAGCCAGACATCGGGAGCCCTCCGCAGGGGAGAGACGAGGGCTGGGTGCGGGGCAGGCCAGACGTCGGGTGCTCTCCGCAGGGAAGAGACGAGGGCTGGGTGCGGGGCAGGCCAGACATCGGGAGCCCTCCGCAGGGGAGAGACGAGGGCTGGGTGCGGGGCAGGCCAGACGTCGGGAGCCCTCCGCAGGGGAGAGACGAGGGCTGGGTGCGGGGCAGGCCAGACGTCGGGTGCCCTCCGCAGGGAAGAGACGAGGGCTGGGTGCGGGACAGGCCAGACGTCGGGTGCCCTCCGCAGGGGAGAGACGAGGGCTGACAGCTCGAGACGGAGGACAGGAGAGGCGAGGGTCGCGGGTCAGCGGTTCACGCCCTGAGAGTGAGCTGAACGGTCAGGCGGAGGGACGCCCTGGGGGCATCTACACGACGGACGCGCCCTACTCACACGTCTGTCGCATGCACGATGATGCCAGACGCCTACGGAACCGCAGCTAACGTGTCTGCGCGCATGACACCGGCACGTCAACGTCCTCGCACCTCCCACAAAACGTCCAACAGTACCGCAGTCCACTGTGATGACCAATCGGCACACCGACCGGCCGCCTCCCCAGCACGGCGCCCGCTCCCCGCGCCGGCCGCCGGCCGCGTCTCACTCACGTGAAGAGCGCCTCGGCCACGCGCACCAGGCAGTGCAGCAGGTGTTTGAGCGAGAGCCCGATGCTGTGGCTGGCCACGCCCGACAGGGTGGAAGCGTGCGCCAGCACCACGGACGTGATGTAGCCCTCGGACGGCAGCGGCTGCTCGCCGTACCGCGCCTTCTGCGGCACCGACCGACGTCTCCGGCGTCACCCCGCGGCCAACAGGCAACAGACACCGGCGACAGCTGACGACGTCCGTACGCTAGCAAACGACACGCGTCATTACGCAAGCAATGCAGTGTTACCGGTAGGTCTCAAAACAGCCCTATCATCCCGTGCATTCGCACTGGCCCCCTCATTGCACGCTCCTAACGGCGGCCGCTGCCGCGTCGCGAGTCCACGGGCGCGCCACTGACCCAGTTCTGCGAGAAGCCGAGGTCGGCGGCGGCCGCCGCGTGCCAGTCGTCGAGCGTGCGCCGCAGCGCCGGCGGCAGGCACGCGGCGCACCCGTCCGCCAGCGGGAACTGCTGGGCGGCGCGCGGCGACACCACGCTCAGTAGGTGGTCGTAGGCGCGCAGCGTGGCCGACGACGGCGGCTCGGCGTCCCCCTCCGGCTCCGTCAGGCACTGCAGCAGGCTCGACCTGCGGGCAGCGCCGAGGTCAGCCGACATGCCGGTCGGCGCCAGTGCCGGAGCCGATGGCGGTTCGCGGAGCGGTGCTCATGCTACTACTGCCGTGGCGTTCTACCCAGCGGAATCGGGTGGCCGCTCCAACGCACCGGCCCATGTCTCGGCGATCCTCACAGCACGTGTCACCATAGCAGCACAATGAGCTGGTGCCAGAGTCTCGTCTCGCGCCGAACAGAACGCGCCCGATGTCAGACACAGTGTTGGCGCGTAAGATGAAGCCCACCCGCTGCTCTAGTGCTATCGTCGTCGCCCGGCCTGGTGTACGAACCCCGTCTGACACAGCACTCAACACCCTGTCCGTTGCCCCCCCCCCCCCCCCCATCTGACACAGCCCCGAACACCGTCCGTAAGCCCAGCGTCTCGCCCCCGCCTGACGCGGCACCCGGCCGGCCTCCGTCCGACCCCCACGTCAGTCCGCCGCCACACTCACCTGATGCAGCCGGACACGGTGTCGATGAGGCTGACGACGACGGGCAGCAGACGGCGCGCCACCTCGGCCGCCTCCTGGCCGCCCGCCGCCGGCTCGATCACCCGGCTGGCGTCGCTCGCCGGCCGGCTGAACGCCTCGTCCAGGCTCACCTGTCCACAGGAACGGCTTGAGAGCAATGAATGACTATTGCGTCCATTGCGGTAGTGGCAATGATGACTGGAGCTCTGGGTGTGCCAGCAAATAATTCCACTTACACCCATGGCCAAAAGCAACAATAAAATTGGTGTTCACAGCTTCCACACACTACACAAAAATATGTTAACCAAGCATGAATCAAATCATCGTAGACGTACGCGACCGGGCGGCTCACCCCTCCGTCTCAACCACGAAAAAGTGCACAAGTCCACCGCCGCCACCGGACTGCCCCAGCGGCAGCCCTTTCGAGGGGGTCAGCCGGCCAGACCTGCCGTCCCCTGCGCCGCCGCACCTGTGTCTTGGCGATGGCCGCGTGCAGGGCGACCACGTCGAGCAGGCGGGGTCGCTGGGCGGCGCGCAGCCGGGCCGCCATGCGCTGCACCAGGTCCACGTCTCGGCCGACGTCCCCCACCTGGCGGCTGACGTTGTCCAGCAGGCTGTCGGCCTTGTGCGCCGACAGGCCCTGCTTCACCAGCGCATCCTGTAGAGCGGGGGATGGCGACGTCATGGACGCAGGCGTACCGGGCGAGGCGACTGACTGTGCATGATTCGGCGCAGGTGGTACAAACGCGGAAGGCTGGAGGAGCAGCCCCTTATAAATAGTTCAGGAAATATTTCTCCAGACGTACATACATTCTTTTGTAAACAACCAACCAGCTCTAATCGCGAATGGTCCCGGTGACTATTCAGTGTTCGGGATGGAAGCCTAGTACCCTGGGAGATGAGCCTGAAGCACTGCCTCCTATTCGATGTATCTTTCTGTGGGGAAACGTTTGCTCCAACAAGGTCATTCTAATTAGCAGAAACAGCAGTCACTGATTCATCGGGGCCTACAACGCCACCACCTCCACACATCGCGACCGGTGTCCAACGCTGGCGGCGACAAAGCCGACGCTCGCCCGCAGCCGGCCAGCAGCGGACCTTGATGGTGCTGGCGTAGAGCCGGTCGGCGGCGCGCGGTCCCCAGACGAGCGAGTGCAGCAGCCGGGCCGGGCCGCCCTCCTCAGCGCCGGCGCACATCTGCTCCAGGAACTCCTCCGACGGCGGCAGCGAGACGCAGAGCCTGGCGGCGCGGCCGGCGTCAGCGGGCCGGCGGACGAGTGCGGACACGGCCACCGAGCCCGTCACGGCAGATCGGCAGCGCTGGCACACGCCGGCGGCGCCGCCCTACTCGCTGGAGACCTCTCGCTCGGAGACACAGCGATGGCGTCAACCCACCCGCCCACTGGAGAATCCCGCCACTGAAGAAAACTGGTGCTACCCACCTACCCACTGGAGAATCCTACCACCGTAGCACACTAGTGCTGCCCATCCACCCGCTGGCGAATCCCACCACTGAAAAAAAATGGTGCTGCCTACCTACCCCCTGGAGAATGCCACCACTAAAGTACACTGGTGCTTCCCATCCGCCCACTGGAGAATCCCACCACTGTAGCACAATGGTGCTTCCCATTTACACACTGAAGAATCCCACCACTGTAGCAAACTGGCCAGCTACCCACTCGCCGCCAAAGTTTCCCCATATCGCCGTCCTCTGTGCGATCCCATCCCGCATCTACGCACCCAACGTGATGTTCGTGTCCCAGCTGGCTTCCATTCACTAGCACCCGTCCCACAGCCCACCGCCGCAGCGGCCGCTCACCGGCAGGCGATGGTGAAGCAGTAGTGGACGTTGACGCGGCCGGCCGGTGTCAGTGGCGCGACGCGCGCCTCGAGGTCCGCCTGGCCGCCCACGCGCAGCAGGCCCACCAGCGCCACGTAGAAGGCGCGGTAGTCGAGCGCGTCCGGCGTGCTCAGCAGGAAGCTGCTCGCCTGCAGCACGCGCCCGGAGAGCGGCCGTCAGGGGCGCGGCGCGAGGGTGGCGCGCTCGGAGAGCGGCCGTTAGGGGCACGACGCAAGGGGTGGCGCGCTCGGAGAGCGGCCGTCAGGGCACGGCGCGAGGGTGGCGCGCTCGGACAGCGTCCATCAGGGGCACCGGCGCGAGGGTGGCGCGCCCGGAGAGCGTCCATCAGGGGCAACCGCGCGAGGGTGGCGCGCCCGGAGAGCGGCCGTCAGGGGCACGGCGTGAGGGTGGCGCGCTCGGACAGCGTCCGTCAGGGGCACGGCGCGAGGGTGGCGCGCCCGGAGAGCGGCCGTCAGGGGCGCGGCGTGAGGACCGACCACGGGGATAGCGCGCAGCGTTGTAGGTGCCGAGTTTGAGATCAGGCGCTGGGAGAGCCCCTCCACCATTAATGAAGTATGAATAGATAACCCATTCATGTCGTCATGCACGATATTTATCAGTACCTATAAATAACATGTGCTAGACACAAGCAAAGCTTCAGCTGTCATCGACAGCGTTCGCAAGAGTGCAAGACATATAAGCACTTACATCTAAGAGGATAAAGAAGATTCTGACCAGCCAGGCAACAAGACGCGCAGGGTTCACAAACCCATACCTATGGCGGCACACAGAGACACAAAACACAAATACCCCGGCCCATAGAGCGGGCATCAATCCGCAAGTAGACGGCCCGTTAACCGTACCTGTCCCCCCTCCCCCCCCCCCCCCCCCCCCGGCCCGGGTGCAGCTCGGCTCGCTGTGCCGTACCAGTCCGTCGAGTCGGAGCGGGTCGCCGCCGCCGCTGTCCGAGTGCGTCAGGCTGTAGAAGCAGGGCGGCTCGCCGCCACCACTGGCGCCGGCGCGGCTCTCGGCCACGCCCTCCACCTCCTTACACGGGATGTAGAGCTTCTCGGCGCCCGGCACGCGGCCCAGCAGGTTGCTCCGCACCTGGCGGCCGGCGTGGGCGTCAGCTGCGGCGCTCCACCGCCGCAGGCCGACGGAACACCAGCACACCACCACACAATGGAGGCTCGGCAAAAGAGAGATTAACGATACTCCGCACGCAGTCGTGTTCTCTCAAACGTGTCACGCCTAATGCATCCGCACACAAATTGCAGACAACATACGGGCACACTTAGAATACGCGAGCAAAGCATGAGCCAGCACAAGAACGATTCAGTCCTGCCATTCACCACAACACCGCCTAATAGGCAGTGTAGCATGCTAGCACATCCCTGGGGCGCCCGTCCTGCCCATCAGGATGAAACAGGCGACCCAGTGCGGCCTCAGCAGCTGAGTGCGTCGTAAAGCGTCAACGGCAATTAACCACATCTAGGCCGTGTCTGCCGCTGGCTCGTACAGCCCCAACCCATCCCCATTAGTAGTCAGCTGCCTCTCCTCCAGTTAGCAGAGCCCTCACACCTGCCTTCCCCAGCCGACCCCAAACACCGCGGCACCGGTCCTGTCCACGCACCTGGTCGATGAGGAAGGAGGGCGCGTCGTACAGGTTGCGCACCATATACTCGAACACGACTAGCAGCCGAGCCAGGTGGAGCACCTGGGCCGCCGACATGGGGGCATCCAGCGCGGGAGCCACCTGCGGCAGAGCCAGACGTCGACTGAGGCAGGCTGGCGAGTACGGCGGGGCACCGGCTGGGACAGTGGTGCTGGAACCAGGGCGTCGACTCTGGGACAGCAAGGCTGAGCCTCAGGCACCAGCTGGGACAGCGGTGCTGGGACTAGGGCGTCAACTCTGGGAAAACAAGGCTAAGCCCCAGGTACCAGCTGCGATTGGTGCTGGAGCTAGGGCGTCGACTCTGGGACAACAAGGCTGACACTCAGGCACCAGCTGGGACAGCGGTGCTGGGGCCAGGGCGTCGACTCTGGGAAAACAAGGCTGAGCCCCAGGCACCAGCTGGACAGCGGTGCTGGGACTAGGGCATCGACTCTGGGACAACGAGGCTGAGCCTCAGGCGCCAGCTGGGACAGCAGTGTCCGAGGCTGGAGCACTGGCCGAGACCAGATTCCTACTGAAAGTCACAATAAGGGAGACAAAGGTTGACAGCCATCGACACAGACAGCAGACAACACAGTATATCACCTGAGAAATGTCGCCCGACTGAAGCAGGATGCCAGCCAACTAAACCAGAGCTCACTGACAAGTCACATAACACGAGAGGCTCCGCCCAGAACTCAACATTACAGCATGCTAGGCAGTCGGTCATGGACTTTCCAGCGGTCTTGTGAAGTGCAGGCTGTACCTTGATGATGACGTCGGCGCACTGGATGAGTACGTTCTTCTTCTGCATCAGCTCCAGCGAGTGGAAGAGGAAGAGCAGCAGCTGGGCATGCTCCACGTTCAGGTCTGGTCAATAGAAGGCGCCGTCACCGGTCGGCACCATCGGAGAGCCGAACACCGCCGCAACGACACAGCAGAGGTCAAGCTGTGACCGCATTAGACGCCGGGCACTGCTGCCGCTTGGACAGATTGACGCGAACAATCCAGTCCTAAACTCAGGACATTGGCTGGCCTGTCAGTCTGTTTTGCGCAGGCCCGAGTTTGCACCTGCCGTGTTGAACGCCATTTATACCACGTAATTAGTGGCAGTCAGAAGGCAATGCAGAGCTTCCTCAGGCAGCCCGACCCGAGCTGTAAAAAACCCAGGGGCCACGCGCTACATACATATTATGCGCAACTGTCCTGGCCACTCTCTGCTATAGTGTATGTACTGATGGCGGCCACCTGAGCTCCGTACACAACCGCGTTGACATTCAGGCCTGCCTTCTGTACATACCATCCGTACAGACCATCTGCACGTACCATCTGTACATTCGTACAGAGCCCGTCCAAACCTCCGGCCACACCTCGCCTCGTCGCCGGGACGCCTGGCGGGCGAGCCCCACCCATCCCGCCCATCCCCCGGACTCGGACCGGGAGCACTGACCATCGCCGTCTGCCTCGGCGTCGCCGAGGATGCGCCGGGTCAGTGTGCGCAGCAGGCTGGACCAGATGAGCACGGTCGCCTGGCGGCCGTCCAGCTGGTCCGGCCCCGGCCCCTCCTGGTTCAGCAGCAGCACCTGCAGACGGCGCCGGGCAGAGGCGTTAGAGCACGGGGCGACACACTCGTCATCGCGCCAGCCCTGCTGCCATAAACTCGGTGACGAGATAAGAGCGGTGGACGCTGTGCGAAAGATCACCGACCGCGCGACAGGCACGAAACCCATGGTATTTTTGACCTCTCCAATTGTGCACGCCTGCCTTCCAACAAATTCAAGTAACCCAGGAGGATGCACATCCGCCACTTACCTATTCGGGCCCTCAATGGACTGCCAAATAGCTCTATCTAACGGAGTTACCCAAAGACAGTGCCCCAAGGAGGCAGCCCACCTCGCCACATTGCATTCAGTTGGGCATCTAGGCCAGCCATGTACCAACTCTCATACAGCACACACGCGCACACCAGCCTCCTTCATACCGGCGACGCCCCGCTCCTAGCCGCTGCCAGCACGCGCCGGTCGACTCACCTGCGCCAGAACGGCCAGCGAGCGCGGCTTGACGCTGAGCGGCCAGTCGGCATCCTCCTGCCAGGGGACTGAGGCCGAGCTGCGCTAGCAGCGTCTCCTGCAGCGGCGTGCTCAGCAGCCGCGTGGCCAGCAGGTTGTGCGTCAGCCGCGTCAGCGACGCGCTGAACTCGTGGCACAGGCTCATCATGCTGCCGGCGCTGACGCCGGCGCCCAGGCTGCCTGCCGGGCGGCGGCCGCAGCCGGGGTCATAGCGCTGTCACGGGCGGGGGCGCGACCGACGCGCAGAGGCTCGCTATGTGACGAGACGGACACTGGCGGAGGTGGCAGCGCCACAACGCGAGTCCTGGGACGCACCAGTCGACGGACAGCACAAAGGCCTCGGTCGCGCATTATGGCTGCATGTACAAATGGCTGACCTGGGGTGGCGGAACACGTCACTGTGCACCACGCACGGCGCTCAGCGAAACTGCGGCGAGATCCGACGCGCCGCATGCAATAATGCACCGCTGGCAATAAGCCTCAGATAGGCTGCCCTCCATCCTTCGGCCGGCACCAGCACACGCGAAAAAAAACACAGAATGGAAAGAAAACAAAAATCAACGGAGCGAAAAAAAATATGCAAAAGGAAAGACGGAAGAGGCCATAAGAAACGGTTATTTGCCAACTGTCGTAGCAGAGCCACCCCGAGGTTGTACTCCGCAGGGGGGGGGGGGGGGGGGCGCGTGCTAACCTGAGCCGACGTCGCGCACCATGGCGGCCAGCAGCGTGACCTGGTAGTCGGTGACGCCCTGACGCACGTAGCGCCGCACGTCGGCGCACTCCGAGTCGAGCAGGTCGCTGTTGATCAGGCGCAGCACGTGCGACGCCAGCGACATGAACTGTAACGGCGCCGGCGGAGCGGACGTCAGGAGCGAACAGGGTCGGGTCTGACTGCGGATGAGGGCTGAGAATGCGGCGGTGGCGGGATCGGACGGCTGCGACAGTGCTCCCCGGTGGAAGGACGACACTTGGATGGCCTTGAATGACCACATTTAGTTCCGTGAAGGTTACAAATCACCGCGGGTGGAATGTGACGCGGTGAAGAACGCGACAAGAGGCAACGCGCTGGGTCTGGGTTATATCGCACCAGCGACACGATATGAAGGAAATTACAAACGAAAAACTATGGTCTGTCAATCACAACGAGTATCGCCTTCGATCCATTTCATTCAGTCCAGTCCCGCCCGCTCAGCGAACCAATCCAGTAGCCTCTGAACCGTATTTGATCGTCGTTTTCACTTTTAACGACGCCCGCAATTCCCAAAGCCAATACCCATCATCGCCATAACCCCACGCCGACGTCCAGCTGAGCCCAAAACACGAGCCGTCACTCTGCTCCCTGCCGTCACTGGATCCCCTCCCCTCCCTGCCGTCACTGGATCCCCTCCCCTCCCTGCCGTCACTCGGCCTCCTGCCATCATGGACTCCCCCCCCCCCCCCCCCTGCAGTCACTCGGCCCCACCGTCGTCACTCGGTCCCCATCGTCGTCACTCGGCCCCCTGCCGTCATTGAACCCCCCCCCCCCCTGCCGTCACTCGGCCCCACCGTCGTCACTTGGCCCCCTGCAGTCACTGGACTCCCCCTCCCCTGCCGTCACTCGGCCCCCCTGCCGTCATCTCCCGCCGCTGACGTACGCCATGCGGCTCGCCGCGCTCCGGCACCAGGCTGGGCTCGGCGGCGGCGGCGGCGGCGCGCTCCGAGCCGCCGCCGTGCTCCGATGCGGCGGCCGAGGCTGGCGGCGAGGCGGGCCCGGCCGGGTACAGCGTCTGCATGAACCACTGGCCCAGCACCGAGTCGTCCTCGTCACCTGGCGGTGGGCGCCGGGTCAGCACGCGAACAATGAGAAGGGGGGGGGGGGGCGTGCCGAGAAATGCGCCAGGGAGAAGTCGAGCGGTAACTCTTAACGGGTCATCCGAGCACGGCTGGAAACGGGTGGAACTGGTTGTTACATGTGTTATATACGGCATACGTGTCAGCGAGCTCAGGCCTGCACAACACAACAGATCGACAGAGTGGAAGATAGATACTTCACGAGCGCAGTGATCTCTGATGGCACGTCCTAAGGCCACAAAAAATTCATAATATGATTGACGTGATAAGCACGAGTAGCGTTTTCTGAATAACCAGGAAAACTTCAACAAACTTAAGTGATTGTTAGGACATAATTGCTAAGCATGTTGATTTATTTCCGTTCTTCCGCTCCAGTGCCAAAGTGTTTCCTAGACTTCCGCTACAACCTCACATCACCGGATCCGTCTACCAACAACACACTCCCCTCCCCTCCCCTCACCCGAGCTGGCCTCGTCGCCGCTCGAGTCGTCCACATAGAACGAGGCGGTGAAGGCGGGACCGGTGGCAAGGCCGAACACGTCTCCGCCCTCCGCGGCCCCGGCCGCCGCGCCGCCGCCGCCGCTCAGCGCGCACGCCTTGCGGTAGCTGGCCACCGCAACGTTGAAGAGCAGCTGCGTCACGTTCGCGGCCGAGAGCAGGGCGGCAGCGCGCTGGCCGGCCGAGCAGGCCGTGGCCAGCGTCGCCGGCCCGCCTGGCGGCAGCGGCGGCCCGCCGAACACGGCCGTCTCCGAGCGCACGTCCGACAGCAGGCTGGAGACGAGCGTCAGCGCCGGCGAGGTCAGCGCCACCGCCAGCACGCCGAACCCCTGCTGACTGCCGGACAGACGGAGAGGGCGAGGTCAGCGCCACCGTCAGTACTCCAACAATGTGGAAAGATGCAGCATGTGACAACAGATACACGATACTTATGGTCATATGTTCTTCGGATACGCTATACCATAGCGAGCTTAAACAACATGCATGTACAGCTTCGCAAAAAATAAAACCCGTGCTAACCACTCATGAATAATCCGTGCAAAATAGTAGTGTTAGGTGTAAAATGGTAGCATTTAAAATGGTAGCGTTCTAACTTTATAAGTTATCATATCGAAATCAATAGTTCCCTGGCCCCGATCCACCAATGTCTGCGACTGTGACGACCATCTTACACTTTGAGCAGGTTGATCCTGCTCTCCTTGCCCTTAACGGGCGACTTGCCGCGCTCCTGTTTGTCCCCGATGGCGCTGACGGCGAACATGAAGGCCTGGATGCCCCGCAGCAGCAGCAGGGCCGCCATCAGCTGCAGGTTCTGCACGCACTGGGGGCGGCCGTAACGGCGGCGTTACGTGCCGCATCAGGCGAGCGTGTCACCGGGAGCGTGGCCGTCTCCCTCGGAGTGCTTGTTCAGTTATGGAACGTGGGGCGAGGTGGCGCTCGCAATACGCTGATATGTGCTTCCAGTTCAGGCTTGTTAGAGAAACTGCACCCTCAGGGTCCGAGAGCAGTGCAAGAAAATGACCGCTTCATCGGCGTGAGGCACTGTCGAAAACTGCACTTCTGCACGCTGCATTGATACGCAATGCGCCCTTCAAGTTGTGAGACGCCACAAATAGCATCTAACACCAATGCAGGCTAACAACACAGAGCACAACAGCCTAGGCCGTCTCCTCCCACCAGCGATCACAGCGGGCCCCGTCCCCTGCCCTCCCCTCCAGCTCCCAGCCTAGCCGTGCGCCGGCACCACTCACGTGTCCGCCCGAGCGCGTGGAGGCGCGCATCACGCTCTGCACGCACTCGTACACCTCGAGCGCGCGCACCACCACGTCGACGGCGTGCGTCTCGGCGTCGTCGGGTGCGGCGACGGCGGCGCCGCTGGCGGCCACGGTCAGCGCCGCCAGCAGGCAGGCGGCGCTGAGCTGCGCCAGCCGCTGCTGCCGGGCGGCCGTCAGCGGCTCCAGCGCCGGCAGCGACAGCGCCCGCCACACCATCACCACGTCCGAGCTGAGGGCCTGCAGGCTGCGGGGGGGGGGGGCGGTGAGAGGCTGTCGCACCGTCACCATGGAAGAGCTGAGCGCCTGCAGGCCGCGGGGCGGGGGGGGGGGGGGCGGTGAGAGGCTGTCGCACCGTCACCATGGAAGAGCTGAGCGCCTGCAGGCTGCGGGGGGGGGGGGGGGAGGGGCGGTGAGAGGTTGTCGCACCGTCGCCATGAAAAAGCTGAGGGTCTGCAGATTGTGCGTGGATGGAGGGCTACGAGTCAGTGACCGAAGCGCCGCCGCCACGTTAGACCTGAGGCGTGACGGCTGGGGGAGGAGTGAAAAGGTGGGACGGAAAAGAGCGGTGCACGTAGCCGATGCAATATGTAATATCCGTGCTGACTTGCGCACGACCCTTCCGACCACTTGGCACAAACATGAACAGAGTCCGCCCCAACAGCGCTTTCAAGAATACCAAATACGGCACACGCCATAACCGCCCAGTCACCACCCTGACATCGTTCCCTTCAGCAGGCCTCCTCGAACCAGCAGCTGAGACCCGATCTGTCACACGGTCCGTGACGTCGCACCTGGAGCGGACGCTGACCGCCTCGGTGAGAGTGGCCGGCAGCTGGAGGCAGCCCGTCTCCAGTGACTCGGTGTAGCGGGCCAGGTAGCGGGCGATGTGCGGCAGGCCGAGGCACATCTCCACCAGCACGTCACCGGCGCCCAGCAGCTGCAGCGCCGCGATGTTGCGCTCGCAGAACAGGTTCTGTCAGCCCACGAAAGCAGTCTTAACAAGGGGTCAAACATGGTGACACAACCAACAGGTGTCAAAACGCCGCCCACAATAGACTGACCATTCCACAGAGTATTCTGTTGCGCATGGGGAATACACAGTACAGCAGTATACAGCACAAATTTGACGCTCCGAATGAATGCAGGTCGTGTCATCAGCCCGTGGTTTTCCCGGTCCCATTCTGCTGACCTTGACTTGTTGCCCACTGCTGTTGGCCTCTGACGCGTCGCTGAGGTCGCTGCCGTTGCTCAGGTTGTACATGGGCGAGGACAGGTGGTCTAGCAGGGATGTGGACGGGTCCACGCGGGGCCGCTTCGGCTCCGTCTTGGCTGAGTTCTCCTTCTCCGCTGTGCAGAGGCGTGACGGTAGGAATGTGTCAATCGTTCTTCCAGTGTGCAGCACCGTGTGTGGTTAGGGCTCTATGACGCACCCAGCTGCTCAGACTATATGGCGCCGCCTGCCTTTCACCATGGCAGCAAGGGCGAGCACCGCGGAGAATCGAACCCCTACCCCTGGTTTCCCGGACGCGCAATGGTCAATGAAGACGCGCAAAGGTAACCACTACACTTTTGGTACCCTGGCATGCAGCATCGATAAAAGCACGGGCAAGATGGCCATATTGGTGGACGTCAAGCCCGCGGCATCCCATGTCCAGCAAATGCAAGAGCATGAGGGACTTTTCAACATTTGGTAAGCAAAAGAAGGGGTGTCAAAAAATCGATACATGGTGCCAACAACATCTGTCGCAACTCGCGACGAGCAACTAATAAAACAACCCTCGGTCACGCCAGCCCGAGCGGAGCGCACGCCGCACGCGTGAGACGGCGACGCCGCGCGCGCCGCGCGCCTCACCCGGCACGCTGGTGCGGATGTGAGGCGGCAGCTTGGCCATCTTCATGGCGGCCACCAGCGTGACGTGGTCCGAGTGCTCGAGGCCGCCGCCCTGGCACAGCAGGCGCAGGCCGTCCATCAGCTGGCCGCGCGACAGTGGCGACGTCTGGCGGCTGCCGCCCGACAGGCCGCGCAGCATGTGCGCGCCCAGGATGCGCGCGGCTGCGCACGCGCCGCCCATCTGACTCGGCAGCACTGCCGGAGGTGCGGCGACTGGTCAGCGGAGGTAGCGCGAGCAGTGGCTGGTCCGGCTGTAGCTGCATGGGCATGTGACTGGTGTGGGCAGTCATGGCTTGATCTAGGAAGCTGAATCCAACTTGCAAGGAAGCTGCCATTGAGGCCTTATGATACACTCAGCTGTTATGGCTATATGACACTGTCTATCTCTCTCCCTAGCTGAAAGGACGGGCACCACAGGGAATCAAAACCTGTACTTCTGGTTTCTCAAACACACAGCTTGGTAGGTTTAGGTTCTGGGTGGCAGTCAAGGGCATGAGTCTTAACTCTGGTTTTGTAGCCTGTAAATGTCATGTGAGTCAACTGTTTTTTAAGGCCACAGAAACTAACATTAAATGTTAGCCAACTTGGAAGGACAAATGTCAGGTCCTACCAACTCTGGGGCTGCTGCTCCATCTACATGGCTTGGGTGGCAGCTGACCACTGCAGGACTATTACATGATGCATCACACGCACACAGCTGACTTTGGATTTCATGCCTGTTTCATGACCATTTGTGTCAACCTGATCTAAAAATGAACTTTATGTAGGTAATCAGGTCTCATGTCCAATCCACTTACAGTCTGCTGCATTCTGGGTGATGTAGTCTGCAGCCAGCAGTGCAAAAGTTGAATAGAATGTGTCATATTCAGCACTGTGGTTGATGATGTCATCTTCACTGAAACCAAAGGCAGGAAAATGTCAAGTCAATATCAATGGGATTGGTTTTAAAACATTGAACTTACAATTAAATCAAGCTATTTTACTAGATCTTAGGGACTGACAGAAATGTGAACTTTTGGTAGCATCCTGCATTAACAATGCTGATATGAAACATCAGCCCAGAGTTTAAGGTCAAGTAAGTTTGCAAGTGATGTAGGGTCCTCCCAATGCATTGCTAATTCATCCATCAAACTATCTTACTGATGTTTTTATGCAGCCACCTGCCTATAACACTGTTCTACCTTTGAGGGTGCTAAAGCAATTTAAGTTCATGTTACTAATAAAAATACCATCAATGTTTTAACCAAATTATCTATAAATCTGAGAAGCACTGAGCAATTAAAACATCACACATTGCAATGGCCTTGGCAGTTAACTGGTAAGTTGTGATCAGGGTGCATTACCAAGCAGGGGGTGAAACCTTTGTGAATTGCATGGGTGGGTCAAAACCCTATACTTAGAAAGAAAAGGGGTCCAGAAGAAATGCTAAGCTTTCTCTAGAATGTTTCTAGTATTGGGGATCATGCATACCTGGGGGGGGGGGGGGGGGCAGGGGAGGGGGGGGAGAGCAGCTCAACATTGTGGATAGAGCTAGGGTCCTCTCCAAGAGATACAAAGTTTCACCCAAGTTAAGGCCCAAGATAGTGAAAATGTTACCTACTTGCACCCTAAATCTAGTTGTACATGACACAAAATAATCTGAACACCAAATTTTCATTTAAAGACTATATGGGTGTCCTGGAGTTTAATATTAGTTTAGATTTCCTGGCATGTTTCAGTATCAGTATGCTGTAAGCTTTTCAACTCCTGCCCAGCCATCATTCATTAAATACACTTTTGATTCCCACTTAATGCCATCTGTAAAGCATATCAAGACTAAGCACCAGTGCATAGACAAATATAACTGGATTGCACTAATGTAAAGAAGGGCTTAGTCCTGCTTTATGTGCCTCATGCCTACATGCCCATAATATGCATTCTTCTTAGGTAAGAGATGATAAGGGGAATCAATATGTGGCTGAAAATGTTGAATGCATCATTTTATGTACATCAAATTCCTAAATTTCACTTTATTTCCAATCTTATCTTTTGTAAGAGACCTTGATCACAAGAACTCACTTATACATCACTTTGACATAAAATGATAACAGTAATGTAATCTTCAGCTTCTTGATACAATTTGTAACCTGGCCAAGTTTGGGCGTACCTACCTCCTACCACAGACCCAATGAATGGTGGGTAGTTGGGCTAGTGGGCACATTTGTAGGCACTTATCATGTAGCCAAGCTTTATTTGTTATGTCAGCAGGTTGAACCATGATATCACTGTTGAATACAAAGCCAATTAGCACCACCAGCATTGTGTGTCTAGGATCTTATAAAAATGTAAAAACTGACTCTGTCTTTATACTCAGAGAAATAAATAACTTTTGGTGGATACAATCCCATTGGAATGTTCTAGAAATAGCGCCATGTACGCAATAACACACATAACATTTCATTTCTGTGTATCCTTACCTCTTTATCACAGATCTTATGAACTCAGGCAGGTCATTTTTGTTAAATGATCCGTAGGATGCCGCTAAAATGGGCTTCACGATGGAGTTCCACTCCACCCCACCGCTCGACGAAGCCATGCCGGCAACTCCAACGCGCTCCTCCTAGAGCGCTTGTTTTCGAAAAGACTGAAGTGGATGGGGAAAGTAAGGACTATTGGTATGCCAATTATGCCCGGGCTATCCCTGCCACGGCCCTCCCTTCGCTACCCCCTGAAAAACCACAGTCTCTGGGGTGGCTGCGGCCAAAGCGCTGATTGTTAGGAACGGTCCAATAGCTGACTGCTTACATCAAGCTTCGTTTTCCTAATGGCATGAGCTTATATATTGTATTTTAAATGATTTACTGATTTTTCAGAATATCCCATATTTTTATATAGTTTTTACATAATTTTTATTTCTAAAACAATTATAACATATCAAAACATAGCATATATTTCTTAATGACGTCATGTGACGCTTCATGAACTGGCTGCCCTTGCCAGATGTGACGCGTGAACAAACGAATGATCTCGCAAAATTTTTGTTTACAAATGTAACCTATGGAGACAATTAGAAAGCAGCAGCGGCATACATTTATGCACTATTGTGTAAACGTTGCTTACGCAAAAGAACCGTGGCCCGGGCGCTGCGCGGACGTGATGTGTTGAGGGTCCACGGGAGTCGTGCTCATGCAGTGCGCGTAAAATATTTTCCCGCTCAGATGGCTAACGGTGATAAAGGGAAACAGCTCCCACCTGCACCATTACATTACTTCAAAAAAGATGGTTCGCCTGTGTCCTGCCTCAGGTTTTTGACACTCCAAAGGAAGGTATTTCTTGCCCAGGGTAGTCAAGATGGAAATCTAACGATCTGGGACCTTGAGGTAAACCATTGTTCTCTCTGTTTGTATTATAGCTGGCTATTATAGGACTTTTTGAATGTGTACCCAGTTTTTTACTTTTTGAATATGTAAATGCTTACCCAGTTTGGATATTTTGTCATGCATTATAGTCAAATTCAGGGGTTTGTTTTCTCTTTGTTTCAGTTTGTAACTTATGGGGTTATGAGTTTATAGCTTATGGTATGTGATAATGTGCAGCATTATTTGTATGGCCCAAAGTACTATGATTCCCAAAGTTTTCAGTTTTGCTAATTTTGGCAATGCATCATTCCTTGTGGCATTATTGCCTAGCACTATGAGGAATGCTATGAATATGCATGAAATTTGTCCAGCCCATGATGCTGAACTTTCTTGTTTCCAGACTTGCAAGCAGAAATTTTCTGTGGAGGCTCATGGGTCTCCCTGTCAGGCAGTCTTGCAGCTGGATGAAGGCCAGGTGCTCACACAGGGTAGAAATGACTCCATCTGCATTTGGGACTTGGACCTGCCCAAGCCTGTCTCAACTTTCCCCTTCTTGCATTATGGCTTTTGCAAGGTTTGTATTGACATGGGCAGTTACACCATCAAAGGACCTGTGAGCCCAGGGTCCATAACCAATTTTCTACTTGTGTACATCATTAGTATGTATCAGTAATAGGATGAGCATTAGTGATTGGAGGCATGCCTGGCTGCCAATACAAGTGGTGTGGTTAACTGGCTTGGTAATTACTCATAGTTTACCATGGATTAAACCATTGTTCAAGCAAATTAAGGCTTACACCTGTTTTCCAAATCACAAGTCACTGTCAACCCTATTTCACCTGTTATTTCACCCCTGCTGACAGGTAGTGCAAGTCGGCAACCTTGTGGCATGCCCCGCTGAGCCCCCCTCAGCCGTCGCTCTACTGGACCCGCGCTCGGGTCGGGATGGGGGCCGCCTCTCAGCGCCGCCCGAGCTCGGCACTGTGATGCAGCTGTGCCCCCTGCCGGACGACACCCGCAGCCGCCTGGTGGCCGTGTACGAGTCCGGCGCGCTCCTGCTCTGGGAGCCGGGCGCCGCGGGGCCGGCGGCGCGGCTCCAGCTCACCAGCGACACGCCCATGTGCGTGGACGTGGCTGCCGACGGCCGCGGCCTGGTCGGCACCTCCGGCAGCCGCGTGCCGACCTTCACCGTGACCGCCGACGGACTGGCAGCCGGACCGAGCTTCGAGCTCACGAACCCGGGCGCGGCGAGCGTGCGCGTACGCCGCGACGGCCGCGTCGCCGCGCTCGGCTGCTGGGATCACCGGCTGCGCGTGATCTCGTGGCGCAAGCTGCGCCTGCTCGCCGCGCTCGAGCACCACGGCAAGACGGTCGAGTGCGTGGAGTTCGCGCCGGCGCCGGTGCGCCTGTGGAAGGCCAACTCGCTGCTGGCCAGCGGCGGCGCTGACGGCACCGTGGCGCTGTGGAAGATATACGATGACGCGTGACGCCTCGTGCCACGCGTTGTTCAGGAAGCTGTGATACCCGTTCAAAGTGCGCGTTGCGACCGATTTTTGTATTCGTGACATGGTTGCGATCATCCGATGACAATGACAGTAGCATAATACACGCGATAATCGACGCACGCGTGGCGCCCGAGCCGCGAGCCATCGCGCGACGCCACCTCGCCGGGGTGGCATCCTCACTCCCCAGCGAGCTGCTCAGTCCCAGAGCTTGATCTCGCCGTCCCAGCCGGCCGTCACCACCTTGCTTGTCTCGTGCGGGTGCCACATGGCCTGGATGCAGACGCCGTCGTGCGCCTTCCACTTGCTGTACAGCTTCGTCGTCTTCCAATCCCAGACGTAGCACTTGCCGTCGGCGTCGCCCGACACCAGATAGCTGAAGAAATGGCCGACTGGTCAGAACGAGAAGACAGCGGCGCTCAACTGAGGGGAACAAGTAACTAACGGCGTCGACACGTATGCCAAAACACACTAGGATAAGCGTGGGCTCGATGCCATGATGTCGACTCGAGATTTATTGCCGGTTGTCTTTCAGTTTCCGCCGCTTAGATTGCAGCGATACATTTAAGTGCCAAAGCCAACGACAGGTGACAAATGAGGACACCATTAATGGGAAGGTCATCCGATGACGTTATTCGCTTAGCAAGTCATAAATGAAGCTCAGTCAACTGACAATATGTGTAACAAATAATTTACGAAGTACATAATTATCACCTGAAATATTAGAAGATTAACGCAATGCAGAATTTATGTTTTCCCGACATTGCACGGCAAAACGTACGGCCTTCGCGGGGCGGTGACGGAGTGGCCCCATCGCCATGAGAAAATACGAATACACGTAAAAAAGCTGGCCGCATCACGTGCTACCGACCGAAGCCCCACCTCATCTCTGGCGAGAAGTCCAGACCGCATGCATACCCGGCCACCATGTGGCCCGTGAACGACTTCTTGCGGTGCAGCTTGTAGCGGTTGATGGCCGAGAAGATGCAGATCTTGTTGTCCATGGACTGGCAGGCCAGCCACTTGCCGTTGGGCGAGAGCGCCACGGCAGGCATGCTGTGCATCGACGGGTCGGCGATGTACTTCATGTCCACCGGGATGTCCCTGGCGGTAGAGCGGAGCCGTGAGCGTCGGCATCGGCAGCGGCATGGTCAGCTTCACGGAGTCAGGGGTTCGCGGTCGGCGTCCGTTGGCGAGGCGTTAGGCACTGCTGCTAGTGGGGGGAACAGGCCGAGGAGCAAGTCGAGGCACGTACGCACAGTTCTCATCGCTGCGCACGCTCGATGACGAGCCAAACAAAAACTCCACATCCGTCAGGAGCAAGACGCCATCAAGCATTGAGCAAAGCTCTTGATGCACCCGCCATTGCAGCGTGATGCTGCAGTGACGGCCGGACCGGAGCGGCGCCACGGCGGCAGACGGTACGCACCACTCCCAGATGCGGAGGCTCTTGTCGTCCGAGGTGGAGACGAAGCGCCGGTTCTCGTCGATGAAGGTGATGGTGTTGACGGCGCCCAAGTGGCGGTCGTACTCCTGCGTTATCTCGCCAGAACGCGTGTCCCACTGGAGAAGAGGGGCACCAGTGTCACGTCCGCGCTGTCGTGTGTTATTTGACGGTGACAGCTGGGCCCAATACACAATATATAACTGGATAACTAATCCACAGCTATCCGGATCAGTTATCGTTACCTGTTACATACAGCTAATAACTATATTCGTTATTAGATATGAGCCTCAAGAGCTGTTACAACTCCATGTAACAACTCTTGAGGCTCAGCACAAACCTACTGGGCATTTACACACTCCCAAGCCCTGTCCCCCTATCCCAGTATCTATGTTGATACCACTTTTCCCAGACGTATCCAACCTTCAGAAGCCAAGTCCACTGCTACAAGCACTGGCGGCACGAAGGTCATTTGATGTGGTACACAACTCCCTAATAGACCGCGCCTGCGCCACACTCACGCAAAGAATCTTCTTGTCGGAGAGACCGGCCACAAACAGATGCTGCTTGTCCTCGTCCGGATGGAACTTCACGCAGTAGGGCACCTTCTTGTTGGTGAAGCGGGACACGCACTCGCCCCGCTCCGTGTCCCACAGCTTGATGTAGCGGTCGTACCCTGGCCGAGGCGAAGATGGGCGGTGAGCGTTCACTTATACGAGAACAGCGCACGGCTGACCACAGCGAGAGGTCGCCGGCTTTCGGCCTCGGGCGTTTATCCCGGCAAATTTGTGTCAGTGAGTTGTGGGTCGATGTTCCTGACAGCCCACGTACAGCCGGCGCCGGTAACACAAGCCGTACCCTTTCGCGTGTTTACCTCAAACCCCAAAACACATATTCCACTGTTGAAACACACCAACACCTTAGTTGCTTTGCTCTCGGAGGTGGAACGCCACGCTGCCGCGCTGCAATGGTCGAGCGGCACGCACATTTTCACAGCGCTTACCAATTGCCCTTCACCTTGGCAATATATGCAGCTGCACTACGACCCATCTTTCACCCTGTGGTTGCCAGCGTCCACCTGCATGACCACCGAAAATGATAATACAGCATGATGGTGAATGCAGCATGATGGTGCACGCATCCTGCCACATCACACAGCTGGTTTCGACATCTGCGCGTGATGATGCCACCCTCAGTCGCGAGGACTCACCGGCCGACAGGAACTGGGTGCCGTCGTTGCTGAAGCAGACGTCCCTGACGGCCTGCCGGTGGCCCAGGTAGGTGCGCAGCATCCGCCGCTGGTTGTACACCTCCCACAGCTGCGGCCCCGAGGACGACGGTCAACACGGGCGGGCGGTCACCACACCACGTGAGCAGGAGCGCGCAAGATCGCTCAGAGACCATCTTAGAAGGGACTGCAGTGGGTTCATAGCGGCGCATTTCCCGTCAGCCAACCGCCCTTTTAATGCGCAGCCGTCCTCTGTTCATAAAGACTACCGGTACTGCGCTACTCACGGCGGGTTTGGTACGTTAGTCTCAAGCGCAGCAGTGTAATATATAAGGGGCCCGCCAAGAACGGTACACACTCTCGACCGAACTTCCAGAACAAAACCGTCAGCAGCAAATGACACAACGCATCCACACCCGACCAGATCAAATACTTAGCTGACGCGATCACACTACGACCTCGAGAGCGCCGTGGGACCGCCCAGCCCGGTGACCTACCTTGATCTTGCAGTCCATGCCACAGGAGAGGATGAGGTGGCCCGACTTGGGGAAGAAGCGCGTGGCGTGCACGCCCTTGCTGTGGCCCTGCCACGTGTGCAGCAGCTTCTTGGGGATGAAACACTTGTCGGGCGGGTCCTCGGAGCGCAGGTTGACGCCCACGTCCTGCGGCGCGTGCAGGTACGAGCGGCCCTGGTAGTCGTACGCGTCCTTGATGTGCAGGATGGTGCGTTCCTCCATGGGCTTGTCGTCCGTCTGCTTTCCGCGCTTCTGTCGCTTGGCCACGATGATGTCCAGCTCGGCCTGCTCCTCCTGCGGCGCGCGGGACGTTATGAGCATGCTCCGTCGACACGGTGTGGTGGCAGTACGGCAGAGAGAGCCGCCGGCGCCTCATGGCTGCGCCGCCACAGGGCGGGGGGGGGGGCGCATGTCACTGACGCATCAACGTTCTAAGACGATTGGTAGCCCTAAGAACGCACGGTACACAGCGTAGATTGCGCCGGTGCAAGCGTTTCGCATGCTGTCTAATCATGGCAGAACGACAAACGAAGTGTCTTACCACAAGACGGGGAAAAGGTCGTCCACCTGCAAACTTCAGCTGCCAGAGGTCGTGCTAACAAACAACATAAAATATTGCTGTGAATATACCTCAATAAGTTCGCCACCCACAAAACGCCTCAGTAAAATGACTTCTTACCAGCGAACACCTCAGCGCCCAACATTGCTCCCCATCCCACAACTGACCCTATCGCTTACCACCCGGGCACTCCTACATCGTTCCCCTCCGCCATGCCGCATCCCGCGTCACGCCGGCTCACCTCAGTTGGCTTCATCACTTTCTGCTCGTCGACGAAGCCGCCCCAGGGGCCGAGGTAGCCGTCCGTGTCGCTGGCGTCCGCGTTCTTCAGCCGCTTCCGCTTGTCGAGCGGTCTCTTCTCCGACGTCTTTTCGAACACGGTCGGCGCGCTGTCGGCACTGGTGGAGGCGGTGGCGGCGCCCACCATGCGCGCGGCACCCTCCTCCGTCGTCGCCTCCGTACTCGGGTCCACCGCGTAACCTGCGCGATGAACGGCGGTCAGTCGGCACGACAGCCACTGCAGTCCCTGTTGGGTGCTATGCTTCGGTTCAGAGGAAGCAGGACTGCTGAGCGTCACCCGACTACAGCGGTCGGCAGTGCGGGTCCTTCCTTGCCCACGACGGTCTGCAGTTCCATCAGCCCATATTCCAGGACAGATGGGTATCTCCTGTGTGTAGAATGCGACGAAGAGCGAATGGACGCCCAAGTGACAGGCCATACATCCGTCATTTTATATCACATCACCTACAGTATACCCAGCAAGTCTACCCATGCACCACCAGGAACAAACAACCTACCACTTATACATCCTAAATGAATTGCACACCAGCTCCCACTGATAAGTGATCACCGCGGCTCTCCGCGCAGAAACACGGCCAGCCAACTCTCAGCGCAGAAGCAAGGCCAGCCAGCGTCCAGATCAGGTCCTGGCCACGGTGGCCGAGCCATCGCCAGCCGGCGAGTCGGCAAACGCGCTTACCATAGCTGGTGAAGGTGCGACGCTGGTTCTCGAACTGGAAGGCGCTGAAGTGGGCCGGCTCGACGTAGCCGGCCAGAGTGTTGCGCTCGGCGCGCTGCTGCTGCGTCTGCGCCGGGTGGGCGGGGCCCAGCACCGGCGCAAACAGCTCGTCAAAGCGCGGGTTGTATGCAAGTTCCTTGGTGGTCGGGTCCAGGTGGCGCCGGTCATCCAGGCCAGTCTGTAATGGTGGCAGGTTGAAAAGGGTGGTCAAGTTCAGGTGCATCCACTACAAGCATGGTTTTTATCTGGATGGCTGATATGTTGGTATGTT